ACATGTATTACATAATAACTACCTTGATGTTACATAATATGCCGTTAAAATTGAATTTGTAGGTCTAAAAGTATCGCATGAGTGATTAATTAAAAATTAAATTAAAAAGTAATTTAAATATACTGGTTATAATAAAAAAATTAATTTAATCGCTTATGCTAACATAAAAAGGCAAGTTTAAATCAGCTAAAATTTCTTTTGCGAAAAATATTTCAACTTTATTACAATCAAAAAATGTCCATTAAATTAGTTCTACTATTTTATTTTTTATTTTATTTTGTGGGTTTTGATATGGTAACGAAATTTATTTAATGAAAATTTTTTAGAAACTAAATTTTAGAAAAACTCTTTAATTTGCAGTTAGAGTTCGATATAAATTTTAAAAATTTAATATGCTTATATAATGACACATATTTCGAGAAAGTAAATTGTAAGATTCGACCAATACGAAGGGGACTTAACGCCATCAATGGAAGTGGTTTACTTAAACAGCCTATAACTGACTTTATAGTAAATTATCAAAATGCTCATAATATTTTTATTGTATTAAAACAAATAAATGACAAGAATATTTTGGTTAAAATTTGTAATTTTACGTTATTTTTTTAATTTTCAACAGACTAGTTTTCAACTTTTCCAAAGGTATAATGGCTGGAAACCATTTTTGATACGTTTTGAAGGTAAAATATGTCCATATTTATCAGGAAAGAGAGGAAAATATTATGTGTTTTATAAAATGTTTCTTGGACTTAGAGAAAAATACACAAATGTGAATCATTCATGTCCTTATTCTGGAGTGAGTTAGATTAATTTATTAATTTATCTAATTTATTAATTTTATTTTATTTTAATTTAGGAAATAATAGTTAGGAATTTGTCAGCGGAAGGACTCTTCTTTCCATCAATTATACCTGCTGGGAAATATCTTATAAATTCTTCTGGTTGGGAGAAAACTAAATCGAATTGGGTTGGCTCTATTCAGTTAGTTTTTACTACAAAGGGCGATAAAAGGTCTTAACTTGGTGTAATAAAAAATTTTGCTTTTTTAAAATACATTTCTAAATTAATTGTAATTAGCAAGGGATTATTTTCGGCAAAAATTCAATATCTTCAGCAAAGTTTCATTTACAAGGTATGCTAAATTTTTGCAATGTTTATACAATTAAGAAGAATAAATATAATAATACAAACCTAAAATAATATTATTATAGTTCAAAAATTAATCCAAAAAGAAAAAGAAAAGTAATAAAAACTATATAACGAAATATAAAAAGAAATAGTTATAAATCGGTCATCAGTTTGTTGAAAATCCAAGAGCAAATACTGAATATAATAATAAAAGCTGAACAAATGGGATATTTTATGACTGGGAACAATAATAAGACGCCTCCAATTATTCCTCAAATTATGTGCTATAGAGTATGTAGCATTGTGATAACCGCATCTTAGGAAAAACAAAATTTAAGCAATTAAAGCACAAATTTCACATAATGATCGAAACTTTGCCTTTTAAAAGAGGATGATGAAAGAATGAATTGACATAGAATATAACAAGATGAGGCCCAGGACTGTGCTCTGAGGAACACCACAATCTAAAATTGACAATCCACTAAATGATTCAACGACTTTCATTCTTTGCCTATGATTACATGGATAGGACTCGGACCATTCCAAAATAAAGACTCTAAAGCCAGCTCAACGAAGTTTGTTAAAGAGAATTGTACGATCGACCATGTCGAAGGCTTTATCTATGTATGCTAATAAATAATGCGGTATTGAGTAGCGACTATTGATTAATGTCCCATAAACTGATAATTACCAAAGAAATTATATTTTTATAAAAAATTAATGAAAAACAGGAAAAACGGAGATCGCTCTGTAGTTATTAGGAATAGGAGGATTACGCCTTTCAAACAGAGGAAGCATTGAAGCTTCCTTTAAACAGGCAGTAAGGGGACAAACCACTAAACAAATTTAACAAAACCTTAAAAACAACTACAATTTAAAAGGAGAAATTTTCAACAATTACATTAAAAATACCATAGATATCACATGAATTAGAGTTTGTTCAGATCTTTTATTTGATTTAATAATTCAGAAGGCGTAATAGTTGAATATATGAAATTGTTTGAGTAATAAAAGTACTCAGTAATTGGTCAGGAGAAAGCTTCATTATTTAGAATTACACTGTTAGGGAAGCTCTATACAAGAAAATAACGGTATATCGCAAGATTACATTCGATTAAGGTTTTCAAGACTTTTAAAAAATTTTAAAGAACATTCCAAATGATATAGCGTATCCATATTTGTTGAAAAACAATAGACGATTGGACATGATTAGATCGAATTAAAATTTGATTCTAGGCAAGCATAAAAATATTAGTGATATCCTTTTTCGTTATTGTTTTTAAATCTAATAATATCCGCTTCCCGAAGAAACGTCACGTCCCCTCTTTTGTTGAATATTGAATGTAGAATATAAAAATAAGATCTTGATATTATTGTTAGCCTATTTTATTTAAATATTGAAAGACATCATGACGCCTATTCACTTGAATTAACGTAAAAATATCTAATTATACATTTTGTGTATTTGAAGAATTTGTACATTGTTGGTGTGCAAAACCAAATCATTAATAAAAACTTTTTTAAATAACAAATCAAAATAGATAATCCAATTATAAACGCATTACTTAAATAGGAAAATAAAAAAAATCAAATGAAAATTAGATTTCATGAAATGAAAATTAGATTGATGACCACGAATTACAATTTTGTGATTTGTTCTCTTGTTTTATATTTCAATCTTTCAAAGTAGTAGCACACAGTTAGCAAAATCTGTGTAACTATAAACACTATATACCAGCATATTTAACCGGTACGATACGTTATAATTAAATTTTATTGTAAAAAAATATCGATTTGCATATTAGAAGAGGGAAATAAGATGGAATGCAAATGGCTTTGGATTACTTTGTCATTTTTCGTATTGTATCAGAGTTTATGTTCTGAGGTAAGAAACAGTATTTCGTATTTGTGGCTCTATACTATACTATTTATGGATTATATTTGATTTTGTTAATTTAAAAATTAAAATATAATTTTAAAATTAAAATATAATTTTAAAATTAAAATATTGAATTGGCAAAGCAAAAAAATATTGTACTTTTACTACTTGAAATATCAATTGAACCTGTAAGTTTTAGTTAAACGTTACTCAATTTGCTTGTTGAAAACGGTTAATAATAGAAAATTTTTTAAACTTTTAATAAAAAAATTGCTCTTCTTTCTTTCAGAATATCATCAAAATTAAATTTACGAATCTTAAGTGTGACTTTAATCCAATTATCGTTAATCGTAATTATACATGTAAAATTCGAGCACAAAATTGGACTGATAATTTTATTGAAGGTGAAGGTTATCTTAAAAAAACTCTAAATGATGTATATGCACATGCATTGCTCTTTAAAAAATCTCCAATTAGATATAGAAAATATTTGGTTGATTTAAAGTTTGATATATGTCAATTTTTATCATCTGGAAAAGGTTCTATATACTTTAATATGGTATGGCCGGTTCTATCAACATACACAAATGTGAATCATTCCTGTCCATTTTCAGTTAAATATCAATAAAACTTATTATATTTTCTTATTTTATAAAATTTTTCAATTTTTTAGGGTAAAATAGTTGTGAAGAATCTCAAAGCAGATGTTATTCAATGGACTTTCATTTGGCCCGTTGGTGAATATAAATTAGATATTCATTTATTTGAAAATAGTATGAAAGCTCATATTGGTAATATTTCTCTTTATTTCACACTAGGCCAGATAAATGATAATTAAGTATAAAGATTTGGAATAAAAAATTTATAGCTGTTTTAAATATAATATAAAACAATTTAATATTCAAAATCTAAATGTATGTATCTTGTGTATTATGTATTTTCGATTCTCTTAAAAGATAGTCAGCCTATACTTATATTTAGGAAGGTAATAACAATTTATAAAACCATTATGAAATTAATGAAGATTTTATCGATTTAATTTTAATATCCAAATAGGTTTATCAATTTTCTAAATCCAATTTCGAAATGATTTTTATATAAATATAACAATATAATGTCTTTTTGTATAAATATAAATATATAATAAGTAATTAACAAGCTTAAACAACGCAGTAAATTTTTTATAAGCAGCTGTAAATTCACTTTACTAAAATCAGGGTCTACATAAACTCTTTTCTTGAATTTTGCGTTAGTTTTCTCAGCATGCAATATTTGTAATTTTTTTTAGCCAAGATCTTTCGTCTTACGGCAGAGCTACTTTAGATGTTTTAACAAAAAAAAATGTTTCCGTAGGTACATAATTTAAGTAAAATTAAAAATAATATTAAAAATAAAATTAAAAACAAAATTCTTCATATCATTACATAAGGTATATGATGTAATGTAGGTTAATTTCAAACGCAACAAAATAAACATACCTTTCAAATACCTATATGTACACACCTTAGATATCCATACATGTAGCATACCTTTCAAATATTTATTTAGATTTAATATGAATTAACATTACAAGTTAAAACTTAGCGCAATTCCACAAAATAAGAGAATTAAAAGAAGCCACAATAACAATAATCAGCCAAGTTATAAAAGTTTGCATTAGCATAGCAAAACAAAGCTCTGAATATCTTATAAAATGAAGAAAGAATAAAACTATTTGTATTGTTAATGTAGTAAGCAATATTACAGAGCATTTTAAAGATAACAGGCATCAGTAAACAGAGACGCCAGTTTTTATTTAACACTATTTCTATTTTATTTTTCTGTTAAAAACTATTTCAATTTCGATTTTAATGTTATATTTATATAGCCTCTGTATAAATAAACGGATCGTGTTAACTACATTCGTTTGTGTGAATTAAACAAAAATATAGTAAAAAGAGAAAATGAAAAGCCAGACAATGACAAATTAACTCAAAGAAATACCCAGTAAAACTAGTCTTTCGGGTGTAGTCGTCAATGACGAAAGCGAAATTTTTTGTTTACTGGGAATAAAATTATTTGTTTTTATTTAGTGCTGTGTACACAATAAAACAAATATCTTTTACTTGTTTTCTAATTTAAATTACTATCGAATTAGTGCCATTTAATTATTTTTTATATTAAAATTTATTAAATTAAATAATTATAAATAATTATAAAATTGATCGTTATGCCAAATGTAACTTATATTAAAATAAATCATTTACAAAATACATGGAGTTCATTTACAAATACGTCAGATATTGTTCCAATAGCTACAATCCGCTACAAAAATAATAGCGACTATATAAACAACAACGACAACATTAATATACCGCATAATTTAACATCAGATGTGCTCTTACTTCTTGAAGAACAACATAAAAATGGTAGTCGCTTATTCAATGGTAGTTCATTTGCTATTGCTGTAGTTGTGTGTGCATTTTTAACATTACTAGTTGGTTGCTGTTGTGCATGTAATTGGTATAATCAATATCCGAATTCTGCCGCTAATAATATAAAGAAACGTCAGCGACAACGACATCAACTATTAATAGAAAATGGAAATGTTAATACTACTACTAGAAATCATAATCGAAATAACAGAAACAGTGCAATTGCAGCTGTATTAGTTGGAACGATAAATAGAAATGATGAAAATAATCAAAGATTGAATGAAAATCATAATACAGAGGATAACATGACAATAAGAAGCGACAATAATCAAAATTTTAATACAACATTCAGAGAATATTTTCGAGATCGAAATAATGAGAGAAACAGAAGATTAAGAAATAGCTTTAATAGTAATAACAGATCAAATAATGATGTAAATGAAGGTAAGGATATTTTATTTCAATTGTAGTTTTTGAAAAAAATTTAATAATGTGAATTACTCTCATTATCGGTGAATAATGGTAGAGTACATACTCTGATAAATTTGTTGTGTATTGAAAATATGTTTTTGAATTTGATTAAAGTTTTGGGAAGATATTAAGTTTTTGGCGCAGTGTAGTTTATGTAAACAAATTTTGAGTCAATCATTCGAGAAGATTAAACAACAGAAAAACAGAACCTTTATTATTTTGTGTACATCCGGATCTGAGTTCATAATCTCTGCTAGTATCTTGTTTTGAAAATTTGAAAAAATAAAATAATTGTAAAAGTAATTTGAAAATTGTATAAAGTGAAACATAACAAGAACGATTTTCCGTTGCGCAATGTCTAAATTCGTGCAGAATAATAGAATCCACATGTATAAATGGGAGTAGACTCAAAATAAAGAAAAATTACCGTCGCGAATTTTATCAACGTCCACAAAATATTCTCAAATCCTAGTTTATCTCTGGTGATTTTTCTAACATACTCTGGTTTTGATGTGTGTATGACATTATATCCAAAATACTGAGCTGATTTTGTCGTTCCACTCTTTATCTGTGTTAACATCGGAAAACGCTCGCTGTTTTCATTCTCCGCTTTGGTTCTATTTTTAGTTTTATCTCTTTAGTCATTTAGTGTTCCTTTTATTAATTAATTTGTAAACAGTAATTCTTCAGTTCCTCCATGAAATCTAAAAATTTAATTGTATAACCGCATAAGTTTTGCATTAAAAAAAAACAATCATTAATATTCATTACAGCAAACTTTTTTTTAAATATGTACATACTTAGGTATAATCTTTCAAATATTATCAATATTGCTTCAAACATTCTTAAAGAGATCGATTTATTTTATATAACCATACCCAAAACAACGGTTCATCGTATTGAGAAGAAAAAGAAGGCAAAAGAAAAAACAAACAGCGAAACGAAACGAATAGCGTGATGTATAATTGATTGATGGTTTCTAGGGATCAAGAATAAATTTTATATTAAAATAGAAAACGTTTTTATACTTTCCTTATCATTTATTCATTTTCGCTACGAAAAAAATTCTTCCTGCTATCAACTCTAAAGATCCCCTTAAATATCTTTTATCTCTATCTCATTTTGTATTTTGCGTTGCTCTTAACTCCTATGTATATAAATGTTAGACAACATGTTGTGCCAAAATGTAGTACGAGGATGATGAAATCAATATAAGAAAAAAGCCTTACTCAACAAATGTCTTATTTTCGGAATAAAAAAAAAAATTTCATAAACGTGCAAAAAAGAAAAAATAAGAAGAGTAAAATTTTCAATTTAAATTCAAAACGCGATTTTTGGATCCCTTAAAATTATAGTTAGAAATCGTTTATTTTTTATGTACTTACACTTACTCACTGCAGTCTTACAAGAAAATGAAAATTGTATGTATGGATGTTTGTATATACAAAAAAAATTTACAAAAACTCTTTAGGCTAGTTACCAGTTACCATACACATTCAATACAAAGTTTCCATGTACATACTAAGTAAATATGAAATTCATATTTTATAAAATATTCTTAAAAAAATTAAAGCCTTACTTTTTTCAAAAAAAAAATTGTAATATTGTAAAAATATATTGTAATACATTGAAATGAATATTTAAATTTACTTGTGTGTATAGGTTTATGTACTACATATTTTATATAAAAACAAAATGGTGTTACTAAAAATTTTTTAATATAGTTGCACTTTAAGTATATTTAATTGAGCTTGACTGTTCCATTTACGCACAATTTGTTAAATCATGAGTAGTAGCTTGTAAATTGTAGTTTCATGTTTTTCATTCTATATAACGTGGTATGTAATAAACCAGGAAATCAGAATATTTAATGGAAATCAGATTGAGTTTCTTTGAAACCTAAAATTGTATATATACCTTTCGTAATGTGCTTCGTAAAGCTGTGCCCTCTCGTAAAGTTACTCCTTAAAATATTGGCATTTTTCCAGAACGTCATTTGCACACAACATGCAATGATCATGAATTCCAGTTTTCGTTGCTTTCTCAAGTGATACTCTTTTTTTGATTTTCTTTTTTTTGAATTTACAAAAACCAATTAACTGACTTTGATATGTAAAAGGAAAAGAAGTATGAAAAAAGAGTGCAAAATACAAAACATCATCTGAAAAAAGTTGCTTTATTTGCATGCATGACTGTCATTATTGCAAATTAAACTGATTGGCGTGATTGACATGATCGTCAAATTGATGATATTCTGTTAGAGTACTATTTAAATATAAAATTTATTCACTTTAATTTTTTAAAATGCATACTAGAACTAAATGCCTCTTCTGTATTTTTACCTTCATATTGAGTGGACTTAAAATTTTTAAATTTTCCGGTAAAAAAAATTTGTCAACATTTTATAACAATTACGTTATTTTTTTTTTGTTAACAGTTATAATAGACAATACGACTCTGGTTCTACTGTTTTGTTTACGAATTTTTTTTTTTTGCTTATGAAAATGTTTTGAATATAAATTTCAAAAAATTCTTAACACAATTTTTAAGTTGATTTAAGATCTCATAAAATTAAAAACAAAAAAAAAACAAAAGAAAGCAAAGATTGAAAATTTGTGTTCTCATTTTATGTAGCATTTTTGCTCCCAATACCATCTGAGCCATAATATTCTTAGCATAGGTCATGTGTATACTTCCGTTTTTATTCCTTTTTTTTTCTTCTTCCTTATAAATAGCCTTGAATGTACATTTTCTTCGTTGTAGTATCATCATTTTTTGTGTTCTTCACTCAAAAAAAAAAAAAAATCATCCGGAAAAACTAAATAGAACGAAAATTGACGAGTCCCTAAGGAAAAATTTTTTGGTGCTTTTGCCTTTTTGCTTTATTATTATTATTATTATTGTTTTACATTCTTATCTCTCTTTGTATGTTCTACTATACAAGTATGTATGTAGATCCAAATATAAAAAGGTTTATTCATTTTGCTGTGTTTGTTATCTTCAGTCATTTGCGCGTTTTTTTTCATTTTTCCGTGGGAAAATTCATTTTGGTTTTTTTAGATTTTTTCCATTTTCAGTATATTCATACTTAGTTACTTATATAATACAATGTTTCAGTATATTTACACGTACATTATTATTGTCTATGCATATGTATACGTATATTCCTATATAAATTTTAAAACATTGACAAGGACGGTCGAGTCAAACTTTGAATATAACTATTAAATAAAGAAAGAGAAAAAAATAACTTTAATGGTATTATGTTTGGTATAATAAAATATTTAGAGCATAGAAGTAAAAACAGCGAATATAAAAGCGTGTTATTTTAAGAAATGAGTTTTTATTATGTGAGATTGCTTCCGTTATTTAGTATAATAGTATATATGTATAAGAAAATATTAAAAGAAAAACTCATTTTTCAGAAAATTTTTGGGGGCTAAATAACAGAATAAAAAAAAAAAACAAACAAACAAATATGAGATGCACGAAAAAATTTAAAGAATTTTTATTTTTTTTCTCTTTTTTGTGTTTTAAAATTTACTTACGAGTATGGAAAGTAGTACACATTGTGGGTTTGATCATGTTCAAATTTTAATTTTGTATATATGTAATTTTGTTCAAACTTTAATAAAGATATTTTTTCTTTAAAACTCATTAATTTTCATTGAGTAATTGTATGTTTAAGAAATTAAATAAATCAAATATGTATAACAGTTTTGTAAATTTTTTAAAATAAAGTATAGTGAAACCAGGAAATAAAAGTAAAAGCAGGCATTTTAAACAAAACTGTGGGAATGGAAGAAATTGAAAGAAATCTGCTGCGTATAATTCCTCAAGGGAATTCATGATAATTATGTAAGAATTCTATTGTATATGTTTAATCAAAAGAAACTTAAAAACTGTCAATCTCGTTGATATCAGTTTTTGTTTTTGTTTACAATAACTCTGTGTTTTTTTACATATTACCGTATACTGAATGAAATTTGATCAGGAGGGTAGGAGGGGTTACTGTAAGTGTGATATAGGAATAATGTTGGACAGACTTAAAAGGTTCTGATCCTTGTCTTATCCCTTCCCATATAATATAATAAGAGTGTTTTAGTGCACTCAATCTGTAGGGTTAGGATATCTTTGTCATTTTGTACTGAATGGAAGGGTATTTAGAGGGAAATGAAGAAAGTTATGATCGAACAAAATTGGATACCAGTTCTTGTTATAAAGAGCCATGAAAAGTTCTCGAAGGACTAAAAAGAGAAATGCAAAAGAAAAAGCTGGATCTGTAAAAGAGGATCCGGTATGCAGAATATCTCTAGAATAATTACGACTCGAAAAGTTTTTAAGAAATCAGGATGGATATGAAAACTATGTGAAAATATTCAGAGGCCTTTCAGCAGTGCTCTGTTGTTTCTAGGAATACCTAAAACAGGGTATAGGGAGTGATTGGTCTTGCAGGTTTTATTGCAAAGGAAGATAATATTCGATTCACTTTTTGAGTGTAAGTATGTAGATCTTCATAATGCGTAGGAAAAGCAACAGTTTGGGGTAGCCCCCCGATAGAAGAAGTGTCGAAAGACGTTCATTAAGAAGATGTGCACTAGGTTATAATACTTGTACAGGAATACAGGTCACCTTGTGGGACATGCTGCATGCTTTCACCTGTAATAAATTATGGAAAGTAAGAACCTGTAATACAAAGTAAAAATTTATTTATAGACCTAAAATGAACTAAACGCGAATTTACTGTATTCAATTATAGCTGATAATATTTTAAATTCATGCTGTCAAATTAAAAGTAAAATAATAACAAAAATAAAAACAACAATAAAAGAAAACTCAACTCGCAAGTTAATTTTTTTTTTCTATTTTTATTTTTCTTAATTTTCTTTTATTGTTATTTATTTTTACTATATATTTGTACATTTGTGTATTTTTATGTGCATACTTACTTACATATTTTTTTTTATTTTTAT